TGGGAGTAGAGTATCCTACCGTCGCGGATCCTCTTCCACAAATTTGCGGAGCATGCTCTTCAAGGTCTTGTCAAAACGTTCCACCATCCCCAGATAGACGGATTGGTATAGGGATGGCCTGAGGGCTCGTATACTTAAAAGATGGCAGAGGTCGGCCATCAATTGGGAAGTCACATTTGTCCCCTGATCCGTTAAGATTTCGCGGGGTATCCCCACCTGGGAAAAGACCTTAACGAGTTCAGTGGCTATCTTAGGGGCAGTGGCAGTCCGTAACGGGACTGCTTCTGGGTACCGGGTCGCGTAATCCACAAATCACAAGGTGGCCAGATGCACTCTTTTCTAGTGGGCCCACCAAGTCAAGTCCTATTCACTCAAAGAGGATCCCGACCACTGGGAGGGGAATGAGGGACGCTTTCGGCACTCTTTTTGGGCCCGTGCATTGGCACTCTGGGCATGAGGCACAATAATTCTTTACCTCTTGGTGGATACCTGGCCAGAAGAACCGCCGCACTACCCATTGGAGGGTCTTTTCCCTTCCCAGGTGTCCTGCCCACGGTACTGAATGGGTGAGGTGTAAAGACCTTGGCGCAACCTCTGTGGGACCAGCAGTTGCTGGAATACTTAGAGTCTGCAGCTCTTCCACCAGCCGATAGAGGTGGTCCTGCCGTATTTCAAAGTGTGGGCCTTGGGGCTTTAGGGGAGAGCCCCTCACTTCTTGCTCTCTAGCGGTGGCCTGTTCCTAGGCATGCCTAAGTGTAGGGTCCTCTCGTTGTTCCTGAATAAAGTCACCATCACGTTCGAGCTCTGTCTGCGCATCATTGACAGAGAAATCCATTTGTGTAGATGGGGGTACTAGGATCTTGGCAGACCTGGAAGGTCCTTCCCCTGGGTCATCATCCTGATCCCTCCCGAGCAGCCTTCTTTTTACCCACTCCTCGCCTTCTCCTACCGGAGTGTCCTGGGTGGACTCTTGCAATAGTTCTAGGAACCACGGCCAGTCCCGCCCCAGAATCACTGGATAGGCCAGTCTGGCGGTCACGCCCACCGAGAGGTCTGCTCTTCGGTGGTATCTCTCCAATGTCACTCAGGCAGTAGGATACAAATGTAGGTCTCCGTGGATGCACTGGACGTAGATGGGGGTTCTGCGTGGCTCAAGATTGGGTACAAGATCACCCCAGATGAGAGTTTGACTATAGCCGGAGTCGATCAATGCCAATACCCCAAGTTTCCCTGGGCCCCTCTTTCAGGCCCGGGGCTGGCTACCCAGACCTGCCAGTAATTGCATTCCATGTAGGAGCAATCCCAACGAAAACGTCCCTCTTGACCACATTCATAACAACAGTCTCTCACTCCTCTGGGCGGCGTCTATTCAAGTTGGCCCGAACCCAACAAGTGGTGTTTCCTCCCGCCGTGTAAGACCTTGGGTGGCGGTCGGTTTTTCATCCGGGTCACAGGTCCTGACCGGGGCTCCTGACAGACGCTGTAGTCCTCCCAGGGGGGCCAAGTGGGCCGGTTTCTCCCCCCAGGTTCCTCCGTCTTGCGGGGTCAGGGTTCCGTAGTCTCAGCTGCCAAGTAATCTTCCATCAGTCCAACCACTCCCATAAGTGTCGTGAGGCAGTGTCTATGCACCCACTCCTTCACTCTGGCAGGGAGGATTTGGGTTAACTGTTCCAAAGTTACAGCTTCTGCCACCTGAGCACCGGACTGCTGGTTGGGCCCTAGCCATCACCAAGTGTAGTCCCGGAGACATTGAGCCACTGCTCGCAGCCTACCCCACGGAGGGTACCATTCCTGACGAAAATACTGGAGGTAGGTCTCTGGGCTGATACCTGTGTGGTCTAATATGGCTGTGTCATAACTATAAAGGGAAGGGTAACAGCTCTCTGTGTACAGAGA